TAAATCTGCATAACAGCTTTATGAAATAGATGTTATTGTTGTCCATATTTTCTTTTTTCTTTCTTTTTTTTTTTTTTTTTTGAGATGGAGCCTCAAGCTATCCCCCCTGGGTAGAGTGCCGTGGCATCTCACTCACAGCAACCTCCAACTCCTGGGCTCAAGCGAGTCTCCTGCCTCAGCCTCCCAAGTAGCTGGGACTACAGGTGCCCGCCACAACTCCTGGCCATTTTTTGGTTGTAGCCATCATTGTTGTTTGGCGGGCCCAGGCTGGGGATTCGAACCCACCACCTTAGGTGTATGTGGCTGGTGCCTTAGCCGCTTGAGCCACAGGCGCCGAGCCTGTTGTCCATATTTTCAAGCAGAGGACACTGAGACACAGAGAAGTTAAGTAACTTACCCAAGGACACATGTCTGTAAAACAGCATAGATGGGATTCAAACCTTGGCAGTTTGGCTCCAGAATATAAGTTCTTAACCATTAAATGTTCTGGCTGTCAATGTCTATACCCATAGCCCTAGACAATGTGCTCTTATGTGTGTTGGTGTTGTATGTTAAATAAGTTGATATATTGTGGTAAAGTCATAGTATCCAGTTAAACAATGCCATGCACTGATATGAAGAGAAGTCACAGCACATTATTAAGTGAATACAGGAAATATAGAATATTGTATATAGCCCGATACTCTTTTGGGAAGAAAAAGTATATATATGGCATTTGTAATAGCTGCAAGATACATATGTGTGTAGGGAGCGGGAGCATAGAGAAAAATCTAGAAGAGTAACATACACATCTCCATGGTCATCTCTAGAAAGTAGAATTTGGGAGGACGGGGAATATTTTTCAATACCCTCATTGAAAAAAAAATGTTAGTTAAGAAGTACTTTTCTTACAAAAAGTTTTAATAAAAAATTTAAAGCTTTTGAAAAAAATGGGTTAATTCTCTTATGTACTCTTGAATTATAGCTTTAATATGATAAATATTTTCAAAGTCCTGAATTCAAGAACACTGAAATGAATTATGGCGGCCATTTCCTGTTTCATCTGGTCCTAAGTTTTGTGATGTGGTTTGGTTTAGGATGTCTTCATTTACTTGTATATCTATTCTTTCCAAAGCGAGGCATAGAAAGTGGGAGAAGGGCTGCATTCTTATGGCTGAGAGCTTAGTATAGCATCCTAAGGGCTACCCCATAAGAAGTCATGCCATTACTATGGACATAACGTTATGCCGTGTGTCATGACAGTATGAGGGTGTATTACAAAAGTCAATATGCTGCGACACAACTAGCCCTGGGTTTTCAGCATTAAATGTGTGTACCTTTGTTTTCTGGAATCTGACTTCTGCATTTCATTCCAGGTAAAGGTGATATGAGTTCACTGGTTGGTTGAAGTAGAAAGACATATGCATGAGCTTTTCTTTAACAACAGACTTCTTCAAGGGTTAGTGAACTTCATTCACCTCCTTCAGGAAAGTAAATCTGAGGGACAAGGTCAGCTGAGGTTGGAGGTGTGTGCACAGGCCTCTTGTTACTGAAGCATTTCAGGAATGCAGTGTCCTGTGCTTCAAAGTTGAGTAATAAAGCTGTTTGGCACCGAGGTGTTTGACTTGACTTTGTAGTGTGGCCTCTCAGGATCAGGCTATTTTTTCTGAGAATCCAGAGGTCCTGTTCATTGTGCCAGGTCACAGGAAGGGACATGGAAGGCCAGGGGAGGATACGGTGGAGATCAGAGGCTCAGGGCATCTGAGAGGGCAAACTCTCCATCCACCTCCCAGATTCTTAGCTCTGCCCACGTATTAGAAACACCTGGGAGCTTTCGAAAAAGACTGATGATGCCTGCCCCCTCCAGAGCGATGGAATTGCAAACTCTGGGATTGTAATATTCTTTTAAAAGTTCTCCAGGTTATTTTAATGTGTGTCTTAAAAAGATTGAAAACCATTGGCTGGCTTACAGCACACATGTTATGGCCTCTAGGAGTTCACATGTAACAGGTAGTCCCCAACTTATGAACATCTGACTGACGTACAACCACTACTTACTCAAGGGGCTACTATAGGTCATGGGTACATATACCTGTTCCAACTTACATACAGATTTAACTTAAGAACAAACCTACAGAGCCTATCTCATTCATAACCCAGGGCCTGCCTGTAAGAAGTGGGGGCTGGATGGTGTCTGGGAATGGTGGACTCCCAGCATCTCATATTCCCCAGGGGGCTGGGAAGAGCAGGGCGACTCTCACCCAGGTCCTGTTATTTCCCACCTCTAGTAAATATGTAATTTTCCCTTACTGCTGAGTGAGCATAAGTGGAAGGTGGTACTAGGAATTGGTATTAAATAGCAAAAAAGAGGATCGGAGATGACATACAGGTCACTTACTAAAACAAAACACACACAGTTGAGTCCGTAGGCAGGCTGGGGCAGAGCTGGTTCTATTAGTTTTGCCCCTTAGACTTTACAAGATCATTTTGCATACATTTCCTCATGGGAGCCTGTAAAGCAAGGCTGTGAGGTAGGCATCACCACCATTTAACTGATGAGGAAACAGGGCTGGAAAAAGCAGAGGGGGCCAACTAGAACCACAGCTTCTCTGGCTCCCAATTCCAGGTCTCACTCAGCTTCCCTGCAGCAGCTTTAAAAGTCTGTCTTTTTAAAATTAATTAAACATTAATTAATTTGAGATAGGGTCTTTCTCTGTCATGCTGGCTAGAGTGCAGTGGTGTCATCATAACTCACTGCAACTTCCTGGACTCAAATTCCTGGACTCAAGTGATGCTCCTGACTCAAGTAGCTGGGAGCACAGGTGCACACCACCATGCCCAGCTTATATTTTCTAGTTTCTTGCTCTTTCTCAGGCTAAAAGGTCTGTGTTTGGTTTTAATTTCTCCTGCTGTGACTTATAAGACAAGATGTTCATTCTCTTGACTTGCTCACAGACATGTCAGGATTAACTGGTGGAAAACTAACCAGGGAAGATCCAGGCCAGAGGAGTAAGAAACAAACCACCATATAACCCACTTTCCTGTTTTTTCATTTGCAGATAGATGGCATCCAAACCATGTATATGTTCCTAGTATTTGTCTATTAGATCAATAGCTAACATTTACAGAGCAAGGGCTATAAAGCTGGGCTTTATGAAAAGTAATTTGTTTAAACTACCCAACAGACATACAATGTAGGATTATGATTCCATTTCACAGGTGGGGAAACTGAGCTCCAGAGAGCTTAGGCCACTTGCCCAATGTCATATAACTAGTTGGTGGTAAAGCCTTAATTTGAATACAAGAGCTCCCACACTTACCCAGATACTGTGCTGACCGTGGGAGCTACAGCCCTGCTGAGTGGAAGCCACAGTCTGACTCTGAACTTGCACCATTTCTGCTGTTTCCCTAATTATAGGATTCATTTACATTTATTGTGCTTTTATCATACATTAGGCACTGTTCCAAGAATGTTAATTGTATCACTTAATTTCATTATGCTCTGGAATGAGACCCCAGAGTCTCACGGGAAGGCTGGTCCCCAGGGCACGGCCGTTCTTACCAGCACTTCTCTATCTGCAAGGCCCCGTTCCAGGGCTATAAAGGACTCTAGGTCAGACTTCCAGTGACTGGAGAAGAGAAATCCCTCCATGCCTTCCCTGGCTGTGGTTAGAACTCCCTCCCTCCATCTGCTCAGCTCTTCCTCCCAGTTCTCAGCAGCGGCATCTCAATCGCCTCCTCTTGAGTTAGTCTTGGCTTCTGCCGCAGCCTTCTCTCAACATCCAGGAAGACAGGGCCCATCTACTCCCATCTTCCAGTGAAGCCTTGATTGGTCGGTGGAACCAGGCCAAGCGAGGGGGAGCAGGATTTCACTCTGGGCTGGGGCAGCAGGATCTTTGCTTGCTGTGCCTGGCAGACTGCACGTCTTATGAGCCGTGACATTAGTGAACGCTCAGTTCCCTTCGGTCTGACTCTCCCCTTGCCACTTCCCTCTGTCCACAACTGCCCCATGGCTCTGCCCCTGGCTGGGCCTTCTTCAGCCTTGAGAGTTCATGTCAGCGCTCGGGACCTGGCTGAGACCGCCGTGTTCACCATCTCCTTCCCGGCCCTCAGCGACTCTCTTAACATCAGCCTTATTTCCGTTCACACTCTCAAATCATCATGTGCATTAAATATTTCTTTACTTACTGTGTTCCCCATGAAATTGTAAGCTCCCTGAGAATAGGCAGTTCTAGTCTTTACTCACTACTGTGCCGTGCACCCCGCTCCTAGCAGCCTGCCTGGCCCAAAGTGGGTGCTCAATAAATACATGTTAAATGGAAGAGTTTATAAAAAAACAACACTCCTCTGTCATTGAAGGTGATGGTATTGAAACTACTGCCAGTAGTCAATTTTCGACATCCCAGCCCTGCCAATGACCTTTCTAATTTATGTCTCTCTCATCTCCCAAGTAAATCCGCACCTTGCTGTTGTTACTTGTATCAGCTAAAGGACTGTGGACTTGCTCAAGCCGCCTCAGTTTCCCCATGTTGAATGAAGTTGCTCTGGGTCCCTGCGAACACCTTCTTAGTGGGTAAAATAAAATCGGAGAGGCATTCTTGGTCCAAGGGGGAAAGTGTCACTAAAGAGAATGGGTTCTTTGTTGGAATTCTGTTGGACTTCTGTTGGAGATACGCGCGTCAAGTGGGAAAGTCCTCTGAAGGTTTAAACAGCTAACAAAACAAAACCATGCCCTCGGCAGCCGGCTGGGTGTCCAGCACACAGGCGAGGAAAGCTTCCACGCTCAAGGGATTTTCTGTCTCTTGGCAAGAAGACTCCAGCATATGAGGCACATGCTAATTCACCAAAATGTGAGGTGATCAGTACTTTGTTTATAGTGGAGAGTTGTCACTGGGGTCTGAAAGGCTTTATGGGATTTGGTCAAAGCCGGGAAAGATGGAGAGGATTTGGGCAAGTTTACTTGTGTGTATTGCGCAGCCTTGGTGGGATTCCGTGTGCTCACTGGTTTCTGTTCCCTCTAGGTACAGACAGCAGATGCCCCAGTGGTTCTGTGGCTACAAGGTGGGCCAGGAGGGTCATCCATGTTTGGCCTCTTTGTGGAACACGGACCTTATATTATCACAAGTAACATGACCAGTAAGTATTGCTTGGACGGTACTCCCTGTAGAGAATCATTCATGGGAACCGTATATCTGCTCCAAAACTCTGACCTACCGGGAACAGCTTAACTGTTCTAGATTATAAAAACACAACTTTCTGGCCATGTCTGCCCAGAGAGGAGGAACTGCCAGGGCAAGTCTCCTGCCTGGGCTGCTTTCTCCCTTGAAATGTGGGTGAAATGTTTTAAGCTATTTCCCTGCAGTCTGCTGCTGACTCAGGCATTCTCAGTTTACAAAAACAGTTGGTATTTATTACATGTGGCACAGCTCTTTTGCATGGGACTAATGGGTGGAATTATATTCTTAACTATTCACATGAACTAAACGCGTCAAGGGCCAGTCACATCTATGATCTGATGTCTTGGAGGCAGGAGAGAAAGAGCAGCTTCTGGCTGGAAGCCAGGTTTATCTTCATTACGTTTTCTTAGTTTAATTTTGGGAAGATTGTTCACTTTCCCAAATGGGTCAGAATTTGGCGTGTGAGCCCGCTGGTGACTCAGTATAAAAACTTATGTGCCAATTTTGCCTAAGTTGTTCTCTTTGGGGAAGATTGGACATTGAAGGTGACCGATGGGGCTGGAAAGACGATGTCACCGCGTGGGTGGGTGTTTCTTCGTGATCCAGTTGCACAGGGCTTGATCTCTGAGCTTTGTCTTAGACGCAGAAACCCTCTGGGTTGGGGAGGAGTAAAGGAGAAGAGGGAAGTAGAGACCTCAGAGGGGCCACCAAGAGTCATGAGAACAGGTTGGGGCGTGCACTCCTGACCACAGCGGCCCTTCAAGTGGAATGCTCTGCTCATCACTCGCTCCTCTCCATCTTCACAGTGCGAGCCAGAGACTTCCCCTGGACCTTCACACTGTCCATGCTCTACGTCGATAATCCAGTGAGTACACGATGGCCCTGGGAGGTGTCAGTGCTGGGCTCTCTCTTGTCTTTTTTTTTTTTTTTAATTAAGTACATTTAAGAAGTAGGTGTAGTTTTCCCCTTAAAAATAGAATGGAAGCTGGCTCAGCGCCTATAGCTCAACCAGCTAAGGCGCCAGCCACGTACACCTAAGATGGCGGGTTCAAATCCCCAGCCCGGA